AGTTGCCATCATTAATATACCTCATGTAAATCAGTAACTGTGAACAGTTTGCAACGTCTGTAGATTCATCAAGCTGGATACTAAATATTGGAAGTGGAGCAGATTTAATTTCTTGGATTACCCGATCAAGAATATCAGCAGACATGTCATCTATTCTTCTGAGGACAGTGTCGTTAGATAAGGAAATTGCACTCAATTTCGTAACAAATTCGTCTCTGATCATAACTCAAACAATGTCTTTGGCCGCTGGCAACAGTAAATCCTCAGAAATGGTGTGAGGTTTCATAACTCTGGTGTTTCTGAGGGCCACCAAATATGAAGCTTCAACGGCTGCTACATTTTGTTTGTGGTACTTGCCACCAGTGTCAAGTCTGGCTTTCTTGAGTCCATCAGCTTTGCTTCTAAAATAGTTGGTATCCATGCCAGCAAAGCTTGGATGCTTGCTATCAAAATGGTGTTTTAGTTTGTTCAGCTTCATAGATTCGGCTGATAGAACTTCACAACAAATAATACATTGCGGTTTCTCAATTCCTGTTGTGATTATTGAGGTAAAACCATACTGTTAAAAATCCTCACTATATTTTCTTTTCTTAATGTTCTTCTCTACACGATCCATTGTCATGGATGGTTTTATAATGAAAATAATATATAACAATAGCTATAATAATACAAAAGTTGATACATGGCATAGTTCAGTCAATACAGTTCATTAAAGTTTCCTATGTACCACCATTTACCATTCTGTGTTGTTATTTTTACATACCTGTTACTATCACAAGGGGGCAGTATTCACATCAACCACAGCTGATAAAAAGACCACCGATCAGCATCCAGATTAAGTTCCCATGGTACAGATATCTTTTTTTTGCAGTAGTTGATGATTTTACAATACGTGATTTTACATTTACCCAGTAATTATAATTCATGAAGTGTCGTCTTACCTCCAATACTGCTGCTTTCAACACAGTAGCTGCTTTTAACAGAGTAGTTGCTCTCAACACAGCAGCTGCTTTCTACACAGTAGCTGCTCTCTACACATGTGTGACTGGTCTGCATAAGTACATTATGGCACCAACCCTGTCACATACACCTGTATTTGTATGGGGTGTATGTGATGGGGTTGGCGCGATGATGTCATCACGCCGGGTACTCGTATGTAGGCGTATCTGCATGTGGGCGGACCTGCCTGGAGATGGATAGAGGAGCGGTGTCTCGGTTCCTAAGACCATCAGAAAATATGTGTTTTCCGATGGTCTTAGGCGACCCCTGTGAAAGGGTCGTTTGACCCCCCAAAGGGGTCGCGACCCACAGGTTGAGAACCACTGGACTAGAGGGAGGAAGGTGACTCAGCCCCCTGGGTAAGGAAGGACAGCCTGCTGGAAGATTCCAGACTTCTTGCTGCAAAGAAGCCACCTGAAAGGCAGGGCATTGCAGGATCTGGAGCCTGAGCCCAGAAACTTGGGGGAGAAGTAGGGGGATAGGGAACAGTGTCAGGTAAACATCACTCCCAACACTTCACTATGCAAAGCAAAAAAAAAAAAAGGAAAAGAAAGAAAAGAAAAATATATCATACTCTTTCTACTTTCATTTATGTAATTTCTTTGTTGGAAGGATGCAAATAAATGGTAAGACGTGTATAAATATATACCTGCGATCTCTTACCTTCCCAATGCCACCCTAATACATTTAATTTCTTTTTTTGTTTCTTGTTTGCATGGATCCTGGCTCTTTTCCTACTTATATGTGATTTTGACATAGCTTCAAAAATAAAGATGTTGTATTCTGCCTTTAAATTGTTTTCTCCTTTCAATATTAAGATTGATTGATTCTTAATGGAAGTCCTTGAGCTAGCCTGCCGACTTTTCCATTCAGTTCTCCTGCTCTGTTTCAGATGAAGGCTGACTTGTTACTTTATCTACAGGGCATTTATTAAAGTAGCAGGAGGGCAACCTAATTGCTTTCAGATCTCTCTGTGTTTTTGTGAATTGGATGGTTAAAACTCGATTTATCTGATGATCTAGTGTCTTTATTTGTCATGTTATTGCTGCTGGGTAAATGTGGCCTCACTATTTGCTTAGAGATTGTTCTGTATGATCCCCGCCCCCCATTTCAGTAGTTATGTGAGACATTCATGCATTGTTACCAGTTCAGCAAAAATGCATCATTCAAAATATGTTCCTGTGGCTGTCCTCTGGGGCTACCATAGGGTTCAGTACATATTCTTTATCAGTGACCATTTTCTGCACCAATGAATTACTTTGGACAGAGCTGGAGTCCCTGATGAGTGTGAGCTGTTCAATGCCCATATAAAATCTTTTAATACCTTTGTCATTTTCTCTAATGCATTGATTTATAAGAGCCTGAGGGGACGTGCTATTTATTGAGGATGGAAATTGGCATGAACAGTCAGCAACAAAATGAATTAATATATGATATGTTTTATGAAGTCCATTGTAAATATAATTTAAAACATTTTTTAAAAACCCTCTCCGATTCTATCCTGAAACCCATCTTATTCCATGTATTATATACATATTTTATTTTTTGAGTCACTTTATTGTACTTTTATGACACATTATTTGCTCTCTTACTATTTAGAGTATTTGCTTTATGGTGATTTTTTTGGTCCTTCCAATTACTTACACATGAGTAAACTTTTCTATTACAAATGTATTTTAAAGCTTATAGCATCTTAAATTATTATTTTCCCCCTTAAGTTGATGTATTTTATGGAAAAAATAGTTTGGAGAATCATACTATTTTTATGTTTAATTTATTGTAATGGTACAAATAGTGCTTGTGTGTGTGTGCCTATTGGAAAGGAGCCTCTTTTATAACTGTTCCTTTATTTTCTTTCTTGCACAAAAGTATACCTATAGGAAGCCAAGCCTCCTGTTCTTAGCCCCCCCTTCTCTTGACATTTGAGAATGCCCCCTTAAAAAGTTCTTAAGACAGTACTCCTAATATTGTGAATTATGTTTGCCTTTGGCAATGCTTACTGATTTACGTTATTTTTGTGTGTGTGTTTGTTTGTTTATGGTAGAGAGTATGTTTTATCACATTGATGATGGTGGATGATTTACAGTGTTGACATCAGAGTGAATGAGAGGTTCTGTTTGTTCATAATCACCCGAAAGCATACAGAAAGTCAGAGTAGGTCACAGGGTAGACCCTGTCTCCTAGGTTCTCTTCTGAGGAACCAGATGCTTCTTCCAGTGGTTTTTCTAGGTTATATTTCTCAGCTTCATCCTAAGACCGGTTTGCTTTGAATGGGAATGACTCTTTCCAGGGCCTTGTTGATTTTGGTATTGGAATCCTGCCCTTGCGTTCTTTGTTCTTTCTCATTGGAAGGCACAGATCTCATCCCCTTGGTCATCTCACATTGCTCAGCAGTCACAACTTTCTTCCCTTGACTTTCAGGTAGTTTTCCTGGACTTAGGTCCTTGCTAAATGTAATGAATAGGCAATGAAGCAACATCTGGGCTCCTGGTTTTCCCCCTTTATATTGCTTTACTCTACTCATCAGTTCCCTCAATTTAGGGGAAAATCATATCTATGTCTTCCTTTTGAACAGATGTAATGATAAGTCCTCAGCTAAAAGTGCATAGCTATTTTAGTGATTTGTTTTAGTTCTTAGCTTTGAAAGTGGGATTCATAGTAAATAGGGAAGGATTGTGGGGATAGGCAATGATGGCCTATGACAGGCAGAACAGTGAAGAAACCCTATCCAAGGTAGGATAACAGACAACCTCCAAAGTTTCACAGGCAAGGAAAGTGGACAATTTGGAATTTTCTAGATGTGTCTTATGACTGAGCATCCTCATGAATAGGCAATGAAGCAACATCTGGGCTCCTGGTTTTCCCCCTTTATATTGCTTTACTCTACTCATCAGTTTTCTCAATTTAGGGGAAAATCATATCTATGTCTTCCTTTTGAACAGATGTAATTATAAGTCCTCAGCTAAAAGTGCATAGCTATTTTAGTGATTTGTTTTAGTTCTTAGCCTTGAAAGTGGGATTCATAGTAACTAGGGAAGAAGTGTGGGGATAGGCAATGATGGCCAATGACAGGCAGAACAGTGTGCTTTCATTTTAGCAAGTGTAGTTAAGTTGGTGAGTATTTGGAAGAAACCCTATCCAAGGTAGGATAATAGACAACCTCCAAAGTTTCACAGGCAAGGAAAGTGGGCAATTTGGAATCTTCTAGATGTGTCTTATGACTGAGCATCCTGCATCAACATAACCATTATTCACACTGATTGTGGGAGAACAAAATCTATTTTCATCATTATTTTATTGTTCACTTTGAGGTAACTACTCACCAGACTGAATCTTTTTTTTAGTTAATTTCTTCTTTCTTTTCTTTCTTTCTTTCTTTCTTTCTTTCTTTCTTTCTTTCTTATCCATCACCAATTATCCCTTCTATGCCCGCTTTCACCTCCACTTCCTTCCTTTCTTTCTTTCTTTCTTTCTTTCTTTTCCATCACCAATTATCCCCTCTATGCCCACTTTCACCTCCACCCCACTCCCACCATCACCACACTGTTGTCCATGTCCATGAGTTCTCTCTTTTTCTTCTTTTTTGCTCAATCCCTCAATCCCTCAATCCCTTCCCTCCCCTAACCAGAGCTGTCTGCCTGCTCTCTATCTATGAGTCTGTCTCTATTTTGGTTGGTAGTTCAGTTTGTTCATTGAATTCCACATATGAATGAAATCATATGGCACTTGTCTTTCTCCAACTGAGTATAATGTTCTCCAGGTCGTAAAGGGTAAAAGCTGTGGTACATTTACATATGGAATACTACTCTGCTTTTAAAAAGCAGACTGAATCTTAAGAGCCAGCCTCTTACTGCACTGAATTTATCTCAGTTCTCTCAGCAAAGACATGCGGATTTAAAGCTATAGTAAGAGGGGGACTCCTATTCATTATTCTCACTTGTCCAGCAACATTGGAAGATAATTTATGTACACAGGGCTTATAAGCATGCTGCATTAATATGATGCAAAGTTTTTCAGCAAAGACTCTTAGAACTGGTGTGAGTTGTGCTTTGTGTCCTGATTGATGTATGTGCTGCCTATGTAGACTCTGTTCTAATGTCCTCTTCAATTTCGCAGGAACTGACAACGGAGAAGTCCTCCCTGAATCCATCCCATCAGCTCCAGGGACACTGCCTCATTTCATAGAGGAGCCAGACGATGCTTATATCATCAAGAGCAATCCCATTGCCCTGAGATGCAAAGCAAGGCCAGCCATGCAAATATTCTTCAAATGCAATGGCGAGTGGGTCCATCAAAATGAGCATGTCTCTGAGGAGAGTCTGGATGAGAGTTCAGGTAAGAGTGTGAAGCAATCAGAAGAATCCATGATAGCTCTTCAGATCCTCATATTATTATATGGCTGGGAAAGCTGTGTAAGTCACTCACCGTTGTCTTTCTTGAATAAGGTGCAATCCTGTCTTTAACTGACTCCACAGCTCCCTGCTGGTCTACTCCAGTATGGTACAGGGGCATTGCTTTTTCCTGTTCTGTATAACTTTGACACCTAATTTTGCATGGAAGTTAATATTCTCACTGGAAATGAAGTTAGGCAGTCCCTGTTTTCATTTTTGAATTTTAAATATTTTTAAGACACATCTTCCACCAAACAAATGCCTTTTTAAGCAGCGTAATTTCAGTTTCTTTAATCTTTCCTCCTAGATATTATTCTTGCATACTTCCTTCTCCACAGTCGGTGGTTTCTGAGTGTTCTTTACGTTCTTTTGATTACTGTGTAATGACAAAGCCCAAAGTAGATTGCCAAACTTGAATAGGATCTCCAGTGTAAAAGAATTTTAGGACCGTTTTTTCTTTATTAGTTTGGTTACTTTGGCTGATGAGTGATGATGATGAGAATAATGATAATACTACTAATGTTTATCAAGCACTTACAATGTACTAGGACATATCTAAGCATTTGATAGACATTATCTTACTGTCTTTGCCATTGTCCTCAGTAGGAAACTGAGGCTCAAAGAGATTAAGTAAACTATGGGATTGTCCTGGATCTCAGAGCAAGATCATTTGACTCAAAACTTAGAAAAATTACAGCTTTTTATATTTTAATGTATAACAGAAACAGTATATGCTTTTGAAGTTTGGCTCCTCAGACTACCTGAAAATTTAATCTAATTCTAAATACAATCTGGTATTACCCTAAATTATTGATTTTTTTTAGTTCCAATTCAATAGATTTTAAATAAGTCAGAAAGCCAAGGTATAATTAGGAAGTTTTAATTCTGTTTAATTTATCAACTATATACCAATGCTATTCAATACAATAGGCTAGGCTTTTCCAAGTATTCAAAGAAGGGTAAGATGCAAATACTCATCTCTAGAGCTTTATACCTACTGATAAGCGTAAGATCAATATACTCATAACTGCAGTACAAATTAAATGTCTAAGAGAGGTAGATAGCGTTATGGAGGAAAAGAAAAAAGAAAATCACATCTGACTAGGACTATCAGGAAAGATATGGAAGCAATAGCATTTGAAAGGGACATTGATGAATATGAAATTCATATAGGTGTAATTGATACTATACTAAGTGGACAGAGGAGTCTCAGTGGTCTTAAGTTCAACATCAGCAAACAAGAAAGCTTGGTATATTTTCAACAAGAAGTTTGGTTTTGTTAAAATATAAAATTGATGTTAGAGAATAGCAGCTGAGTGCTGGAAGAGTTTGTTTCAGTAATGGCATGAAAGGCCTCAAATATCAGGGTGAGGAGTTCTTTACTTACTTTTGTGGATATTTTGCTGGTGATGGGGATTGATTATATTGACTGTGGCTGGAGCTCTGCTTCAAAGGATGAGTCTGGCACAAGTGTTTGTGTAAGGAGAAAAAAGGACAGGGAAGTTAGGAGACTTGGATAATTTGGTTGAGAGAAAGTAGAGTCTGTTTCTAGAGCAGTGGCCACAGAAATAAGGACTAGATAATCTGGTGTGAGAAGCACTTTAACGTATCAACCTTAAGAGCTGATTAATGAGTGATTGAAGAAGATGGAGAAATAAAAATTAATCTCTAAAGGAGCAGCAGGGTAATGTAATTAATGTCATTAATTACAACAGCAAGGAGAAAAGTGTGGGATCATTGCTTGGGCAAGCTGGATTTGAAATACTTATGGGGCATAATGAGGAGCTGTAGATCTGGAACTTGGTAAAGTTCAGAGATAAAAAAATAAACTTGGTAATTATCAGTAAAGAATGAAGCCATGGAGATGGAGAAGTTGTTAAGAGAGGGCAGGTAATATGAAAAGGAAATGGATCTTGAGACATACCTTCTTAGGTGTCTGGGAGAGTATTGTCAGCAGCCGACAAGGAAGTAATCAGAGTGTGTGCTGTGTTCCAAAGCAAAAGGAGGAAGTTATTTCAAAAATATCTTCATGTAATACTCTGTCTCTGCTTAGGAATCAGTAAGGGAAGGCACAAAAAGCTACATATATGTGTGTGTGTGTGAATGTGTATGTGTCTGTGTGTGT